GGGTACTTTCCAAAGAAACCCCCTGCCTTTTTCCATGCCTTGTCTTTTTCTCAAGAACTCTCATGTGATGATAACACTGTGGCCAGTCGTAGTGACAGAACAGCCCTTACCTCTGTAGTTCAGTGTTTACTGAATCTGGTCCAGCCTGAGATAACTTTACCCAAACCCATGCTCTCACCATACCCCCTACACACTCATACCTGTACCTCTACCCATGCCTGTCTCACATGCAGCATAACTCGAGTCCAGACTCTTCCTGCAATCACTTACGAGATGCTACTTGCCCCAGTCAGGTCTTCCATGGCCAGGTGGGTAGGTAGCCATGTACCCAAGAGTGGAGGGGAGCTGGCTGGTGAGCACACCCTGCCTTGCACTCCGCACAGTGGAGACCCTCAGGGTACTGCCAGGACTTTTGGCAGACGGACAGTGAAGGCACAACAGGAATGCAGATGCAGCTTATCACCTTATTATCAGGGTTTAAGCACGTTTTATAGGGTGTCAGTTCACACTGCCCATCGTTCAGTTCCTCTTCATTTATTCTTCTGAGATGTCAGAACCCGTTAGAAGAGCTTGCGTATGGATGGCAACAGATTTCGTGCCCAGGCAGAGTGCTGCATGCCATCTAACACAGCATTTCCAGACGAATAAATGACTGAACCAATGCGATGGATTCTGGTGCCTGACTTTTAGGGAAAATATTCAGTGATGTTCTACTCACAAAAAAATCTCCATGCTGTGAGATTATCTAAATAAACCACATCAAGCCTTTCTAATCAGAGATGTGATGCTATTTTTAAACCTGCCAAAAATTTTAAGCCAAATGGTGTGGGATATTATGGTTACAGGGCCTCAAAAGAGTTATTTGTCTCTGTTTATTTTATTAAATATTCCTAGACACAAACTTAGAATGACAGATCAATAAGTGCCTTTGCGGTTTCCTGATTGAAGGCAGCAATTATTTTCTTCCATTACAATATAAGCATAACCTAGTTTTACTCATCTATCATGTGTGTAATGGTAATAAAGAAGCATCACCATGTGTTTATTTTACTGTCACTTTATCTTTTGTTTTGGTGATCTTCTGTTTTCCTTTCATATAGTTGAGATTGTCAAGGCTAAAATCAACCCACCTTCCTCACTTGAAAAATCACATTTAATCCATGATAAAGGTGCACACTACTGGACTGTGTCTGCAAATGAAGTAAGCAGCACTTGCCTCCTCATCTAAACACACCTCTGCTCTGAGGAGTACCACACTGGGGCTGATAGTGACTAACTGTGACCAAAGTAATTCTGCCTAAAGATTACACCCAGTTTTCTCCTTGTTGTGGGTGAGGAGATGCCTGAACAGTGATTCAAAACCCTCCACAGCAGCTACCTCTCAGATCTCTTTGTCCTGACTCAAGTAATAAAACTTCTTTACTATAACTCCCAGTTTTTCTTTTAATTCAAAGCCAGTTCTGTTTCCACCTTGCTGTCATTTAAGTGTCAGACAGCTCTTCGCTGAAGGAAATTATTAGGCAGTACTAACTGGTCACAGCTCTGCTGAAGTACATCTGACATCAGTCAGATGCTTCATCAGATTCACTTTCCCTAACTGACTTCAGTGAGCCCAGGTTTTGGCTTCATATGTATTACACTTAAAATACAACTGGAAATGTTTTATTTTCTTTTTATGAAGTTTTCCGTGAGCACTAGAGTAAGTGAAGCACAGTTGTGTCTACATTTTTATCTTGTGGTTGGTTGACTTTGCTGTCCAACTAAGCTCTGATGGAGACTTTTCCCATGGGTGAGCAATACCTTCCTTAGTCCCTGCGAGTCCTTCTCATGTTTACAAAGGGGCTCCTTAAACTTCACCAGTTTCCACAGCCTGAGCTGTCTCTGGATTCACACTTGAACTCACATCTTTAGGGTTTCTTATTGCTGAGGCTGTTAGGATAACTAAAAGAAAGACAAGCCTACAGTAGCGCAACAACAGAAACTTAATTCCTTTAGAAAACAAAGCTAAAACCTATCCAATTTATCAACCACATCGAGATGAGTTGGTTGGGGGTTTTTTGCATTAAATATAAGAAAAACGATTTGAGGAAGTGTTTTGGATGTATTATTTAGGTTTATCTTGATCTAGTTCTACCTTTAGAAGCCTCAGATTAAACAGTCCTGAGGGACAGCCACTTAAAAAGATGGACTACCCAAAGTACAACAAAATTACGTACAATTGTCTTGTGGGACTTTTTTTGATAACATGAAATGGCCTTCATCAATCAGACTCTAACTGTAAATTATCAGAGAGCACTTTCTTGCAAATGGTGCAAAAGGCTCATTTGTCTTTTTAATGTTGAAGTTAGTGGTATACCATATTCACTGCTGGACTATTTTCACTGTCCTATGACTTAATCTCACAGTGGTCAGTGCCTTTCACTTGCAAAATGGTCTGTGGTTATTCTTTCAACATCAAAGAGAAAGGTCATCTTGGCTACACTACAAAAAGCAAGTTTTGAATTTTGCCAAAATAAACTGTGACAAACTCTCACAGATAATAAAAGCTTTCTTTAAGTTGAAGGTGACTTACAAAAAGGAGAAAAATGGTTTATGCCCTCATCTACGTTTCCTCAATGTACAAAGAAGGGCCTAAGAAGAGTTGAGGGGTTTGAGACTTTTTTTTATTATTATTTAATCTTCAGCATGGAAGATCAGGTTTGACATTCCTGAGATAAGCATAAGAAATTATCTGCTTTCCTTCTGCCTGCTCCTTCCCTTCCTTCACATTGCAACCCTGCAGGTCTACTTTACACACTAGAGAAAAACAGGAGTATAAAGGATGCTTGGCAAATTCTTGCCAATCTTTTTGGCCAGTTGAAACCCAAAAAACCTCACAGGATACTTTTTATTGGATCCTAAATGAGTCCTCTGGAATAAATGAAAGGAAATGGAATGGCAAAGCTTGACAGTCTTGATATTTCTGTGTTAAGTAAACAATTAGGATAAAAATTTCTGACTGCCTTTATGCCATTTAAAAGAACCACAAGAAATTACAGAAACATTTTCTCCCTTTATCAATTTAATGTAGCAGAAATCAGAGCTCTGATGACATTTCTTAAAAACGGGCAACTATAATAAACATGTCAGCAGTATAAGACATTCAGTTTTGATATGCAAAGCAGCAGCAGACTCTGGAAAAGCTTTTGAAACACGAAAGTACTTCCCAGCATGTGAAAAGTGGCGAATTATTCTGTCAATATTTTAATGGTATACTTCTCTATGAAAAGATCACCTTATGAAATGGATGTATAGGGAAGTACAGAATGAGACAAGCTAAAGGCCACGAGATTTAAAGACAGTTATTCACAAATCATATACCCCGTGAATATAGAAAAGGTACTTTCAGAGAAGATCAACGTTCCTTGTTATAAATGAACTGAAATATGAAACAAAAAGGGATATTAATACCTGAAATGAAAAATTAGGACAGCAATAACACAGCAAAGAAAGATAAGAAGTTACCACGCTGAATGCTTGCTAACTTGTTTTTAGTTCCTGGAAATTGTCTGTTCCCCCCCAAATAAAGGTAATTAAATGCTATGTCTGTTGGAGTTGCTGTATCAGCATCTGCTGGCAATGCCTACATCTGTGTTGAATGCCTGGAGTTTGCCATAAGCAGATGTCTCCCAAATGCCAAGGTTGTTGTGGTTATGCTCAGGCTGGGTCAGACCCCTCCTCTGAGTAGACTCCTGCTACTGGTGAGAAGCCACTGCATCTCTGTTAACAGGTGTTTCTCCCCAGACTGCCCTGCCTCACTCCTGGCAGTGAGGAGCAGCCCTTCTCTTTGATGAAAGAGACTCCCACCTCCAACCAGGGTATGTGTCTGCACCCCATCCTGATGCCCTGTGCTGGGCAGCTGTGCTGAGGAGGACTCCAGTGGTACTTGGGATGAAGAAGGCCTGTGGCTCCCACCCTCACTCTGAGCTATCCCAACAATGGGACATGACAGATCCCATCCATCTCCAAATGCAGGTGGAGCCATTGTTCTGTCCTGACACAGGCCTCATCTTGGCTGAGCAGAGCCCCACCACAGAGACTCTGGCCCTGCCCTCTGGTAGAGGACAGCGTGCCACCTCTGAGCTCCAAATTTCTTGTATTTGAGAAAAGAAAGTTCCCCACAGAGGATATTTAAGGGCCTGCTGCATAAGCAGGTGATTTAAAGTTCTAATGTTTCATGCCCCAAAGTAATTGTTAAAAGTACCTGATTCCCAGATTATGTATTCCTTTTACAAGAGCTGAAACCACCACAAACACTGGCCAGAAGGGAAAGGGATAATTTCTATGCTTCCTCTGCTCACAGTATTTCAGATGTATGGAGAGGAGCAATCACTTGAACTCAGTGTACAGAAAGGCAACTCTCCCACCCGAGACCACCTGTACCCCTGTTCAGATACACTTCTCATAGACACCTCTTTCATGAAGAAAACTGATGTCAGTTGGACCGTTTCTGTACCAAGCATGAGTAACGATATTACAATCTGGCTCTTTGTAGCATGTTTCAAACGATCTCTTTCATTTTTTTCTGAGGAGGGCAGTGATTCATCATTAACATAGTTTTAAATATGAGTGATGTTCTCAGGGACTCCTTAGTGCACACGGATATGAATGTTTATGAACACCTTTTTGAAATATGAAAAGAAATAACCACCTAAATGTTCCATTTATCTGCATCACAGTTTCTCAAGGAAAAAACCTTACAAACTAAAAAAAAAAGAAAAAAAAAGATTTTTCCCCCGGTCCCACTACTACATTTTTTGCACCATAAAGACCTCAGTGATTTTCATACTCAATTTGCAGGAACTAATCCTTACAGAGATGAATCATCAGCAATGCTACGTAACCTGAAATAATCAGGGACTTAGATTTTGTAACTGAAACTGAAAGGACTGATACCTGGCAATAGAGTAGGCCAAGAGAGAACAAAAGTTCCAAAATATATCAAATCAATTATCACTTACCCTGTTCAAGCAGTATTTACTCTCCTTCCCATAAAAGTGCTGGAGACATTTCATGTTCTGCTTGTCAACAATCTTGTTGAAGAACTCATTGATGGTTCGCACAGAGACAGCGCAGACAGCAGATCTCTTGGTTGGTTCAGAAGAGTCTGGTTTGCTTTGCGCAAAAACACCATAGAGAATATCATCGTTCAACCCAATGCCCATTTCGTGGGCTAAAGCTGCACCAGGCTTGCTTACATAGGCAGCTTGCAAAATGTTGAATACCTCCTTTCGGATGGACCTCTTTCTTCGCTTTTCAGTAAAAATGCACTCAAGAGGCATTTCCATATAAGAACGCATCTCTGAGTCTAAAGTGCAGAAGCGGATAATTCTAGTTTGAAAAGCTTGTGAGTCAAGAGTTTCTCTCTGTACAGTCAGAAAATACACAAAGTGATCATTTTCAAAGGCATGGACGTACCTAATGGGATAAGAGTCACGGAACTGAGGAAGGATATCTATATAAGACTGATCTGTGAGAAATTCAAAACCATCCTGTGTTTCTTTTAACCTTCTAACTGATATAGAATGCAGCACATGGGGAGGTTGAAATGTAGATGTCACAGTATTTCCAACAAAGAAGTTGACAAACCTGTCCTTTTCGGTCACCAAAACTTTGGTTCCTAAAGTGCTTACAACACAGTCAGGACAATTATCTGCTTCTCCATCCACCCGGGGTGAGTACATGCAGTGCACCTCGCTTTCAATGTCAGCAGGATTGTCAGGGTGAATGATGTGACGGTGGCAGATGCCTCCGGACACGCTACCACAGCTGATGAGCTGATCATCATAATAAGTTTCTAAGAGCAGTGCCATGTTGACATTATCCTTCCATACGCTGTTAGATAAATTGGCTTTATCTCTGCAGTCTTCACATGGCACACAGTCAGGGTTCTCCAAAACAGGCCCAGTCTTATACACAGAAATGTTCTGGAGAGTTTCATTTAGTACATAAATCTTGTTGACTGCTCCAACATAAACATGATGCTTGTATAAAACTACATTCTGAATTTGTGTTTCTGCGATGAAGTTAGGAAGATCATATTTTACACCGAAATTCATCTCTGATTTTTTAGCTGCTTCTTTGCATTGTCCATGGCTCCTCTGCAGCAAGGTAAACAGGAATACGACAAACCCAGAAGGATATGCAGTAAAGGGCTTCATTGTCAGAGATTTAATCTGTCAAAATATATTTAAAGGAAATAGTGTTTAAATTTCATATACTAAAACATCAGTTTATTAATCAACAGTAATCTGTTTCTAGGCTGCATGTAGTAGCTGATGTATTTCAGTTTAAGAAGTGGTCATAATTTTGCTTAGTGTCATAAGAGTTGTGCTAGAAACTGCTATGATTACTGTCCTTCGTGGGTACACACTTCACTGCTTTTAGAACAATTCACAGAAGGGCTTTCTTACGATGAATTTCTCAAGACCATTTGGCATGTTGTAGAGCAGCAAAAGAGAGATGACTACTTCCACATTGGCATTAAATCAGCTGACTGATACAGTTTAAAACAGGATGGTGTACACATAGCTAAAAGCAAAACTGCCCAGGACACTCAGGTCACAAAGCACACAAAGCAACTGGAGCCCTTCAGTGTGTGGATGTAAGACATTTGTCAAGTTCTCAAGGGGCTGAGCCGAGAGAGCTAGCACAGCTAAGCTCAAATGTAAGAAATAGAAAAGATACAAAATAACGTGGATATTTAAAATGTCTATTGACATTTTTGATTAATCAAAAAAGAGACTTCGCTCCACCAGACCAAAGGAAGAAACTCCTCTCTCTCTCCCTCCAGCTCCCCAAATTACTGTCTTTCATAAAGGCCCAGTTTGGAAAAAAGAATTTTTTTTCAGCCAGCTCTACTTCTTGGAATACTCATTCTCACTAGTGTTGACAAGGCTTTGTAATATATTATTAGAATACTTTATGCATCATGTGGTGCCTGGCATGTGCAAGCTTTATTTTAGGCCCTGTACCACAGCAGTAAGTCACTCTGGTGAACCTTTACAAGATACAGCCGATCACTGTGTTGTAAACAAAGGGCTATCAAATGACCTACGGCCATTAACCGATGAAATCAAACAACCTATCACTTCTCTCTTTTTTTTTTACATCTCCATACAATTGTTTGATGTGGCTTGAAGAACCAAAGGCAGATGACTAGTGTGATATTTCACCCTCTCAAAAGATCAATTAAATGAACTGTGGTTATGAGCGTTTCAGCGCAGTATCCACATTATGCCCTGTCACACCAGACGTTTTCTGTTAACGTCATGACACAGTTGTTAAGCCAAATTTAGCTTCTTCAAGGAGAAAACAATTACACATTCTAACAGCAATATGATCACATACTTTGGGAAAATCCTTCTAGTTTGACTATAGTTAGGCAATTGTTGCTAATCAAGAAATGCTTGTGACCACTGAAAGAATTTAAAATAGATGACCTTGAAAATTACAAACTAATAATAGGAATCTGTATCAACTTTTTATTTCATTAGGACTTCAAGGAAAACAAAAAGATGACTATAGACCAGAGCTGTTTCAGTTGTTTATAAATTCAGTGTTTTCACCAGTTTGGGTAAAACAATCCGTCAATAATTCTCCTGCATTTCTTGTGACATTTTATTTCAGCATCCACTGAATTATTTCTGTGGTTTACCTCCTTAATTACACAAAATAATAGGTTTGGGGAAAAAAAATGGTCTTCCTCACTGTTATTTCATAAGAATTATGACTGAGAGTTGGGGATAAAACAGAAGCTATTTGCAAGAATTAGCTGGTAAGAACAAGTCATACTTTTAGTATTAAGAATAAAGATCTTCTTTCAAATCAGTAACATTTTTCTGGTACTAATTTGTGATAACAGAATCCTGGAAACAAATCTAGCATGGATTAACACTTAAAAAAAAAAAGAGCAGGTATATGGTTAGAACTCGAAAATAGTCCCAGTACACAGAGTACTGATTTCTATATTGTATGGGGCAGGAAACAATTTTCTCATTCCCTGTAACACCTTGCTATTATGGAATTTTTCCTGCTCTGTGCTGGGATGAAGGCAAGAGCTTTCAAACTTTGTGTGAAACACCCAAAAGTCACACCCAACCCAAGAACAACCGTGTTCCTCTCCTGCCTGACCAGTGTGAAGTGAAGGTCCCAGCACTGGGAGCAGTGGGAGCGTGGTCTGACTGTCTGCCTCTTTTCAACCAGCACTTCCACTCAAGAAACTGCTAAAACTGATACATTCCTGCAGATTCACTTCTGATGAGTCAACATGTTCTGACAAATACTAGATTAAGCAGAAAATTCCAAAAATGCTCTATTTCAGACACAACACAGAGGCAGGTATACTGTTTATTGCAACAAGTTTAAAATGGCATAACAGAGGTGGCCCTGCAGTGGTGAAAGAAAACAATGGGTGGGACAAGAATTAGATGAGGCTGATTGACCACCAACACATGAAAAAAGATGCAAGGTTACTCGACAGGCATGAATTTGTTGCAGTATATTCCGTGCTATGTTCTTGTTTTAACGTTCTGAAATAGATTTCCCACCCACTAAGCCCCTCAGTTTTCAGTTTACAATCACCCTCCTTCTTCCAGTATCTGAAAAAGAGGATCCATAGCTGTCCAATAGTAAGTACCACTGTGCACTGCAGAGGTATTTAGAGCCATAAATACTATCTGACTTATTCTTTCCCTCAAACCACATCTTGGGATGTGAGGCCAGTATCCTTAGATAGGCTACTCTGGCTAAACTTGGTGACACAACACTGGTTTCAATCTATGCTTTGGAGACCAAAAATTCTTCCTTAGACTCCTTTAGCAAATGCAATCGGAACCAAAAACTTAACAGTAAGAGCAAGGGTGGGATTCAGTGTAATGTAAAGGATGCCACAAATAACAGTATTTCACCAGTACAGGAAGGAAAAAATGAGCAATAAATGAAAACCAAGTCATCTTTGCTCTCATATTTGAGCCTTTCCTTTGTATGCTTTTGAGGTGTTTCAAGCAACCTCTTAGGCAGAAATCTGCTGATTCCCACATATGGGAAGCTCAGGTTCAGATTTATGGGCAGCTCTACGGAAGATGTTCCCCACAGTGCATGTCGCCAGCATACTGTGACTCTTTCCTCGAGGTACCTGAAATCAGAAGTAACATGCTCCACTGTGAGACGTTTAAAGCTTAGGGAGAACGCAGGAACTATGTGAAGAGTACAATGTATTCCACAGTCCTCATATCATATAAACTCTGCTGCTCCTTACTGAGACTCCCATGATGTTTGGTGCCTCTTTTCATCTGCATTTGACCCAGGGTCTTTATTCCAACACTGCAACCTCTAGCACAGAGCTGCTCTTTTGTAACATCCAGACACAAACACAGTTCACTTGAATACACCCTAAAGAAACAGGGAAACTTAGGAGAACTAAAAATTCAGTCTCACGTCTCTTCAAAGGTCCAACAATCCCAGTTCTCTTTAGCACACACTCAAATATAATTTCAGCTGAACTTAAACACTAAAAGATTTTTGCTGAATTAAAAGCAAAATACTTAGGCTATAGATACACCTTTTGAGTACAGATCAAAGAACTAGCTGCTGTCTATCATTTACAGAAGGAAAACAAGTAATCCCTTTGTTTCTCTACTTGGTTTGAATGATGGATGCTGTTCAATCTTTTGTGACCTTCCCATGACTTGTGTGTCAGTGTGTCTTTCATGTGTCTGCAGAAGACTTGTAAGCTTTAGCCTGCGATAACTATCAGCGAGCAATAGCTGTGGATGGATTATTCCTTTGTAAGAAGGATGGATTATATCCTTTTGTAAGAGATATTTTCAAAGCCAGTGTCATGATGTGCTCATTTTTCCATCCCTCAGCAGACAGTAGCCAGTATAACTGATGAGAAAATGGATTTTGGGATGAGAAAATGGATTTTGGTTAACCATTGCAAGTGGCTGGTAATGATGTGTCATATTAGTGTGACTGGCAACCTCAAGTGCTATGGCTGGTGTTTCCCCTCAGGCTTAGTCTTGAGTGTTTGTGTACCACTAACAGTTTCCCAATGGCAATTTTCTTCCTACAAGATTCATTCCCCCTAACTGTGGCCTGGGTTATAATCTCTAAATATTGAACATCATGGCTATCCTTCACACTGTTTTCCACTGTATTGACAAGTCAGGCCTGGCCTTACTGTGGAATAATGTTCAAGCTGTCATATTAAAGAAAGACAGAAAACACAGCCATGCTTGTTTTACTTGCCCTCATTTCAGAAACTTGGGTCCCATTTAGTTCTGATCACAAGTACTCCTCAAATCTGCACAAGCTCAGACAACACGCTGACCTGAAAGCGTTTTGTAGGATGTTTGGTGCATCTCATTTTTCCTTGCTTTATTACAGGAAAAGAAATTACAGGGTCCTCCATATCACACAGAGATTGTGTTTGTACAAGAACACATTCAGTCCTCAGATAGGTCATTTCAGGTTAGGTAACAGCAGAGCCATGTCAATTTATGTTTCAAAAACTCTACTGTCAGCAAATGGTAGCCTTTTCCCCTCTTTAAGGAAAAGTTTGATAGTATGATTTTATACTTTTTCCAGGGGAATAGTACACCTTGTTACTTTGATCTCTGACAGAGTTATGGTGGCAAATTTATATGAGATAGCCCTAGTGACGACTCCTCCTGAGAGTTCAGTTTGCTTTGCTATTCTGGACCAAAATCCGTGGATCAGAGGCCCTGCTATGGAGATAGGATCATCATTTAAGAGGACAGAGCAAATGAGAGAGGGTGATGATAACAGCTCCATCCATCCAGCTTTAATCTATTGTTGCAAATCTGTCACAGCACTGGCATCAGCTTCCAGACTAAGCCCAGAGTGGATGTGTCTTCATCATACTTTTCAATTAACTAACTGCATCTTAGTGAGTTTAATCTATATTCTATGCTGACAGGTAAAAAATGTTCTTAAGTCTGAATGGAATTAGTTACCTTAAATTAAGATAACAGAGAGGACAAAGAAACTCAGTAAGTCAGTAGCAAATATAGAAATGATCCCCACGTTGAATTCAAATGGCTAATCTGAGTTAAAATCCATGTTCAGCACTATTTCAGCTCTTGTTGAGGTTACTCATCCTGACTAGGGTGGCATAGAGTGCACTCACACTATGCAATTTTCCAGCGCATATAGTCACAGTGATTTACATCATAAATTCATTGATAGCAGAGCTGGGAGGTTTCTATGGTATTCCAAGAGGTGTGTATGCATACAGACAGTTGATGGGGAAGAACTGGTGGGCAGGGCGCAGCTTAGGCAACTGCTGAAAGATCTACCATTAACTAAATCCTCTACATATCCAGTTCAGTCATGCATCAGAAGAAACTGCTTTAATTAGCAAGTTCAACTGATACGTAAGCCTTTTCTTACAATATTCAAACACAGTAAAAAAGAATCTAAATTATCCCTGCATAAAATACATTTTTTAATATACATGGTCCATTACTGGGTCTGATATACCATTGTAAGTCACAGCAGCTATCAATAGAAGCATTTTTGTTGTCTACCATATTTATTTTTAACAGGCATTAAACCCCAAGATCACTAATATAGCCTTTGCAGTGAAGAAAATGCTATTCTTGTACTCATTTGTCACTATTTTTGGAGGTGTCCTGCAGTGCAGTAAAGTGTAGAGTCTTTTACTTGAAATGTGCTTCAGAACTTTATATCCTAAAGCCAACTCATGTCATGGGTCTCTACTACAACTGAATTTATTTAAGTTTTTCTGTTGTCATGGGCTCCAGTGGCATTACTGGTTCTTTTGTAATGGCCCTCAGCAAACACTCACTGATATATTACAAATGAGTGGAACAGATCAAGAGATATATATTGCTCAAAAAGATTATTTTAAAAGGTGGTATACAGCATTTCTTGCAATTCAGGGAAAGTTCTCATGTGAGGAAGTGGTACTCATTCTAAGGGCTAAGGAATCAATTCCACAAGGAACACAGACTAGAAGTTCAAAATATACAAAGAATAACTGAAAAACAGAGAGGAACCATCCATGATAAAGTAGGTCTTTCACTGTTTCTTCATGCTTATATTCAGATGGATTTGGATGTTTAAATACAAGAGGACAGCTTTCCACACCTGGACGATAAGATGAAAAGATTTTTTAAAAACTATTGTATTGTTTAGTGATAACAGAAAAATAGAAAGCAAACTTTGAACAACACAAGCTATTGTTCCATTCTGTTCGTCTGAAATGTGCAACTTCAGTAAGAAAATACCTGTGGATGCTGTTGTGGCTCTTTACCACTACACTAGTAGCAAAATAAACCCAGTTCTAGCACAGACTTCTGCTTGGTATCTGCAGCAAATAATTCAGCCTGACAACTGACATATGAACATCTTATCCAGTCCAAGTGTTCAGTACAAGTAGAAAAAAGCTCTGTGTGTGGAGAATAACATGCTATGCTTGTTACTGTACATGTCAGGACTAATAACACAGCACAATGTTGGTCTTCTGTTTCAAGTTAGTGAATATGAAGATACTTGGGTTTTACTTCCAATTTTTCACATATTTGAACAGACTAATTCATCTTATGTATTTTCACTGCATATTCAAAGTAAAGGCCCTTATCAACTCTAGTCAGTTGAGATAAATGCAGACATGCTCAAGTAGACTGAGGAAATCACACAAGCTCAGGTAAAGATGCAAGTTTTTTTTGTGTGTGTGTGTGATAAAAAACCTTACAGTAGGAGAAAGCAACTTTCTCGTATTTCTGAGTCGATCCTGTTGATCAACTTTTTGCATAAGTCTGAGCATTTTGTGGTTGTCTTTACAGAATGGGGGCAGTGTAATTTCCTTGGAATGTAGTTCCTCCTTTCGTAACGAGCCAAGCTGGCAAACCTGGCTGCAAGTACAGTTTTAGTTTAATTCCCTTAACTATTCTCAGCACTTCAATTTTCTACTTTATGTTTTATGGTTACATATCTACCTGAATTCTTGTATTGAAATGCAGAGCAGGTTTTGGAAGCCTTTCCTGTCTTGTAAAGCTAACAGTCTTCCATACTGTGATAATTAACTAATGGGTCATAAAATGAAAAAGATTAAAAGGCAGATATTCATGAGTAACCAAGCCAGCATACAGATTTGATCTAAATGTTCCAACAGCAATTATGCATGATCTTGATGCAGGACATTTTCTGCAGTTTAATTGTCATTTGGTGCTAATGGTTCTTAGGAGTCCCTGAGACAATAACTCTTCATAGCCAAACATTACTTTCTTTAAAAAAAAAAAAAGTTCTATGTGTCAGTAGACACGGACAGTAAAGTATATTATATGACAACTGTACCAAAATAGATGATAAGGTATATTACATTAGAATGATACCAATGGATCTACAAGTGCACCAAATTACCAAGTTTCCTTTTGATGTCATAGTAAATATAAAAATAATAAGCATAACATCAGTAACTAAAACCCAACAAGTTCCTGAATTCCTCCAAGGTGTGGTACAAATACCTAGATACCAAGCAAAATAAATTGTGCTGGCTCTGTTCTTTCCTCTGAAAGAGGTGGCAGGACAGTGTCAGGCAGCAGCTTTCTGCTTGGCGGGTGAACATAAAGCATGCCACTGTGTGCCATGACTTCACCCTTCTCAGTCAATGTGTCTCCAAGAGTCACAAGGCAAATTAGTGACAAAACCTAGGGTCAAGGATTTCCAATAGGTTGCTGACGCCTTGCTTGATACACAGCTCATCAAGCTGAGATGTCACGGTAAAACCGTGCAGGGTCCCAGTGAGATCAGCACATCTGTATGAGTCAGCTGGGGCCCCCAGATTTGGAGAGTTGGCCCAAGGGCTGGAATGAGACTTCTGTCTGCTGGGGGTGGCTTATCCAGGAAAAGGAAAAACTAGGAAAAATCTCCGTTTGTGGACCTCTGTCAGCACTGTAGAGAGGACTTTAGGCTGCTTCCAGGGCCTCTCCTTGTATCTAGGAGCTTTTGTGAGGCTGCTGAACTGCTCTGGCCTGGCACAGTCCATTGGGTTGATTCTGTGATTTGTCCACATGTATTATATTTAGTGCTGGAAAGCAGACCACAATCCTTCTGTGCCCAAGCTGGCTCCACAAGATATAACCACGATTGTGTAATGCTGTGTTTGAGAAAACCAGCCCTGCCAAACAGAAACCACCTCTATGCAAAGCTAACTTGGTGGTCTTTGCCCCAGGTGAAACATGTGGTGCACTTACAATAGCTACAAACAAAAGTGAACCAGCTAGGTT